AAGACCACGCCCCCACCTCCCCAGTCTGCACCCGTCTGCACCCTTCCCGCCCCGGGGAGGCTGCCCGACGGTCCCAGCTCTCAGTCCCCTGGGCTTCTCCGGCCCTTCAGCACCATTCCTCGGCGGAAAGAAATGAAAACGGAGAAGCCGAAAGGGAATTTGGGTCGCGAACTGCTAGAGAAGCCATAGGAAATCCGACGAGAGGCACAACCCTTTGGGTGGCTGGACTCCGGACCGGTGTGATTCTGTCCAAATTAAGGTTGGCCAGAGGGAAGCCTCATTCCTTGTCTCTGATCCCTCCGCCCAACCCCCTCCCCTCAGCTGGAAGGCTCTGAGGCACCCTAGGGTCCGGATGCGCTTGAACCCCTCGACCTGGGGTGGAGGTCCCTCTAGTGGTCAGCGCCAACAAGAGGCACCGGCGCCCAGTCCTGTGAACTGCGGAGGACAAGCAGCAGTTCCCTGTGCTGAGGACCAAGCCCCAGTACATAGGCCCAAGAAAAGTTCTGACGGTCTGACCACAGGAATGAATTCTAGAATCTGTGCAGAACCGGGCCCTGAAGACCCAATCCAAAGCCCTCCCCCGGTGTATGGCCTGAATCCCCTTTGGTTGTACTGCTAGGTTGTTGCCCTGCCTAGGCCTCCAAGGACTAGTTGCTCAGTTCAGCTGATTAAAATCCCTGTGGGCCTCAGATGGCATCGGACACCAGGGACTCTGGCATAGTCCCCAGCTCTGGCAGGAGTCACCAAGCCCTGGCCTCAGTTTTTTTTTGTTTTTTTTTCTCTATGTTCTACAGGCTGGAGGGTTGACAAACTCCACAAGACAAATCTTTTTTCAAATTACCCTGGTGGTCTGAAATTACCAGTGTGCCCAGAAGACTTGTATATGTGAACAGAACTTAAGCCACTCTGGCAAATATGAGACTCTGGCCACTGCAGGAACCCAGCCAGAAGCAGACTAAGGGCAAAGCCAACAGAGGAAGGCTGGGGCCCACAAGAGTTGTGTTACAACAGGACACCCTTCAGTTCTCTTTCACTTCCTTAAAATAGCAGCAGAGAGGCTTTTGTGGATGAGGCTGCCACAGTTCACACAAGTTCATGGGTGTTCCCAAATCCCACATGTTGTTGCCTCAGTGGACCCACTGCCCAGACTCCAGCCCCCCCCCCCAAATGTTAGTCTGTTCTCAGAACTATGCAATTACTTTTTTAAAAAATCACTTTAAAAAATGGTGTAAGTCACTGGCTCTCGAGCTTATTTGCATGTTGGATCCACTTTGGAGGAGGGGACTTAAAAATGTATCTGGGTCCCACCTCCAGGGGGTCTGATTTGACAATTGGGGGATATGGCCTGGCATTGGGATTTTTGAAAGCTTCTCAGGCGATTCTTTTTTTTAAATTTTTTATTGTTCAAACTATTACAGATGTCCCCTTTTTCCCCCCATTGACCCCTTCCACCCCGCACCCACTCCCTGCCCCAGGCCTTCACCACACTATTGTCTGTGTCCATGGGTTATGCATATATGCATATAAATTCTTTGGTTAATCTCTCCCCACTCACCCCCACCTTCCCTCTGTAAAAGCTCCTCAGGTGATTCTTATATGCAATAAAGTTTAAGAACCATTGGTCTAGGTCATAGGGACTTTAAACCAGACTAAAATCTATCAAAAACCTCAGAGTTAAAAGTGTGATTTACTTAGAAGAAGCCAAAAGTAGCCTGTTAACAGGGGCTCCCTGAAGAAAATGTCTTGACCTAAAAGAGTGATTCTAGCTGCAGGAATTTAAGGCACCAGGGTGAGTTGTTAGTCAAAAATGCATCCTACAAAACTATCAATTAAAAGCATATCGCAAATGAAAGTCAACCTTTCCTCTGTGCCTCCATTGAAACTATGTGCCCACGACTCACACATAACTCCACTTGCTAATAACTCCACTCTACCTTCCTCTGTGAGACAGCTCACATTCCTTATCCCTGTGAAATAGGTAATCTTTTACCCATAGCAGGTAATGTCCCCAAACCCCTGGATCGGGTAATATCATCATAGTTATTCATACCTGCCTCATTCCACAATTGATTTGGGCTTTCTATATCACTCTATTAGAACAGTGGTAATTGCACTGTATCCATAGGGTAATTCCTTTCTGCCAAAGATCTACTCAAATGCTACTAGGGAAAAAAACCTCTCTTTACTGCCTATGGCCCCAGCCTGAGCTTGGCAGGGTCTGGAAAACAGCTGCAACTGTACAAAGCAAACCCTCTCATGTGACCAACCTGGAACGACAAGGGCCTCAGCACATGACACAGACTGGCACCACAGCCTGCACTTGTGACCCAGGCCAGCCTGAATTGGACAAACGCGTGGGAAAGATTTTGAAGAAGCCCCTCTGGCCAGGCACAGCTGCCCTCAGTACCCTGTGCCACATGGCACGCCTGCTGTGGCCACGAGTCACTTGGAGGCTATCTGGCTTCCATCCAGATTCCAGAATATCTACCTGGGGCTTCAGTGTGTTGGGGATTATTCACCGGAAACCCAGGCGCAGGCAGCACTCCCTTAAACTGCTTTGCTTGAGGGCCGGTAGGCAAATTAACCTGATGAAGTTTGTTTGCTTAGTGTCATTTTTATTGTGTTTCATGCAAGAGAGAGATGAAGGGGAAACAAGACAAGATGAGGCTAGAGGTAGGGTCCTCACCCTCAGGCTGTTTTTCTGGAGGAAGTAGCTTTTGAAAGGCCCGTAGGAAGGTCTTGTGGGAACATGAAAAGTAGTTAAAGGAGAAGACCATTATTTTTGGTATAAAATGATGAACGTATTGCTCAGGAAAGATTGGGTGAACAAACATACATATTTGATGCTTCCTTGGGCAATGAAAAAACTATGGGATCTGCAGTATTTTATAGCTCTATCTTTCATTTTGTAGCTGTTATTTCAAATGGCTCACCTAAGCTCTTCTTATCTCTACAATGGCAACTAATAAAGATTTGTTCTGCATACAAGACCAAGATAAGAATTAAATGATGTAACAAAGGTGCAAACTTTGTTCTTGGAAGGTAGTATTCAAATGTTAAAGTGTGTACCTTATTACTACATCTACCTAGCTTTGTGGAGAGGCAGAGCTGGGGAAATTGAGATGAAACATCAATAAGGAATAGTGCTTTAGTTAGGAGATAAAAATGGAAGAAATGGCATTTGTGAAAGAGGAAAGAGTTTGATCAAAGGCCAGAGGCAAGAAAAGCCAGGAGTATTTGGGGGTGGTCTACATTTCTAGCTGCTTGGAGGGGTGGGGTGGATAGAGTTAGAGGAAATGCTAGTAAAAGAAAAGGCTGAAAGTAAACTGAATCAAAATGTGCAGGGCCTTGAGTGCCGGGAAGTTGGATGGGTAGTGGGAGTTGTTGAAAATTTCTGAAATGACGGACTCTCATTTAAGCTCTTGAAAGATCTCTAAGGCAGTAACATCTGGGAGGATGCATGTGCATTCCAACTTCACTGTATGTGATGAGAGGGATACAGCATTGTAAAGGGGCTGTGGCCTCGATGTCCTGGAGAACAGCTTCCATGGCCAAGGCGCTCTCCCTCTGGGCTGTAATGCATTACTTCAGAGGCTGCTTTCTCTTTGCCTGGAGCTTGTAAATGATCTGGTTTCCATCATTCCAGGCATAGAGCTGCTTATCTCTGGCATTGTAATGGATCATGGAATGACTTCTTGGCCGCCTGGGAAAGAACAAGTTGGGCAGATCCTCCTTGCTAATAGTGCCCCGTGGGTCATAGACACAGGTGATGCGATGTGGGCCGTGGCCACCAGAACTATAGACCACATAGAGAACCCCACACAAGAGGAATGCAGCTTCGGCATCCTGACTACTGCATGGGGTGTCCCATGAGTGTTCCACTCCCAGTGTGCCAGGCTCAAGTTTCGTGAGAACCAAATGGCCGTGGATGCCTGGCCCTGAGTGGATGGCCCAGAGCCCGTGCTCATCCACAGCCAGGTCGATGTAAGTTGATGGGGAGTGCTGGTAGACCAGTGCTCGGCCTGCCCCTCCTGGGAGCAGCATTCGATCTTCCACAGTCCTCTTCTGCAGATTGTATTTGATTATCTCATTGGGAGTCCCTTGGTTATGAAAAAATAGGAAACCTTTGTAGATCACTTGGCCTGTTCCCTGCCAGGAATGGGTTAAGATCAGCTTCCGGGGGCCTGGCTTTTTGCTATCCTCCATGAGTGCTCGCATGTTTGCAAATTCCCAAACAGTGTTGTTTCTGGATCCGATAAAGAAATAAACCTTTGGAGAGTCGCTGACAGCATCTTTCATCCAAGAGCCATCTGTATCTGTAGTCTTCTTCACTATTTTCAGAGACTTTATGCCCATTAGCATGTTGTTACAGCCTGGCCAAAGGGAGAAAAAAGGGAGGTTACTTTGTAAACATGAGAAGTCTGCTTTTCTCACAGACAGCTTTTTTCCCCCCATCAGTGTCTAGAATGAAGTTATCACACATAGATCAATGACAATTTATGGTATGAGTCAATGAATCAAAGAATTAAATGAATACAGTGGAACCTCAGTTCTTAATTCATTCCGGAAGGCTGCTTGAGAAGCAATTTGTTCGAAAACCAAATCGTTTTTTCCCCATTAGAAATAATGTAAATTGCCCGGCCGGGTTGTGGCTCAGCAGTTGAGCATCGATTGACCTAGGATCCAGGAGATCGCAGTTTGGCTCCCGGTCAGGGCACATGCCTGGGTTGTGGGCTCCATCCCCAGTCGGGGGCGTGCAGGAGGCAGCTCATCATTGATGACTCTCTCATCATTGATGTTTCTATCTCTTTCTCCCTCTCCCTTCCTCTCTCTGAAATTAATAAAGATATATATATATATGCAGATATATATGTAAAAGAAATAATGTAAATTGAATTCATCCATTCCAAACCCCTAAGTGATTCCCTGTTTTTACCTTTCTTATATACAGTACATGTCTAATGTACTGTTTATGAAAAAACACTTCTTAAATTTATCAAACCACCCCCCACTAGCCTTAAAGGAATCACTTTCAGCGCTTGTTCCAGGGGTGTTTTCAGGAGGCCAGCATGTGGTATCTTCACTTTTTCACATCTCACTGCCTCCGAAATGCTGTAACTGGCTAACTGCTTTTCCTTTATCCAAGTCAACAACAGTTTTTCTACCCCTTCAATTGCCTGTGGTTATTCTTTCACATCCTACACAACATCAGCACTCTTGATGGCCTCTTTATGTTTTAAAATTGTGCTAATGGTCCATTTTGCCAGCAACAAAAGCAAAAAAATATTCACAGCACAATTTCCTGAGATGTTAACAAGGTTTGGCAGTAAACTGCCCAGCATCCTCTCCTTTGTTTGTGGCCTGAGCGATGCTTTTTGTCATGCTGCTGCATCAGCATGAAAGGGTTGTCAGGTCAAGAACTGAAGTTTTGTTAAAACAAATATTTTTTTTTTTCTGTGAACAACCTGATGGGGAACTGAATTGTTCAAGATGGGAGACTTTCTAGAATAGAGGTTTAACTGTAAACTGGTCTCTGCTAAGGGAGTTGCTGTCCAGCTAGAAGAGTCAGCATTTCATTAAGTCAGGATATAAACAGCTGTTTGCTGTCAGAGATCCTGTTCACTCTCTAGAGTACTTGGGGGTTGACACAGTGAGAATGACCTAGGTGTGAAGCTGCCTAACTCAATCCCATTTACCAAGAATTTTTTTGGCATCTACTGTGTTCTTACCGTATAATATCTCCAGGACAGTGCTAAGTATTGAGGGTAAAAAAATATATTTTTGACATTGCCATGAAACAAACAAACAAAAAAATCCATGCCTCAGCTAGGATAAGAGACACTTGGAGCAGAATTAAATGACCCCAGTTAAGCGCAGCTTAGATCAACAAACGCTCATGCAATTAGAGCCATGAGAACAAATGATTGCTGCTTTAAGTCACTCAGTTTTGGGGTTGTTTGTTCCACAGTATTTTTGAAGCAACAGATCTCTTTCATACTCTATGCATAATCTCTCTCTCTCTCTCCCACTATATATATACACACATATATATATATACATATATACACATACGTGTAACATGGAGTTTATTATATTATTATTTATTAATCATTGTATTATTTTCTGTACAAACAACTGTAAACCTACTTTATACACACACACGCACACACACACACACAAATCAACCCTACACCTTGAGGAGATCCTCTTCTAGTGAAGGATTCTGGTCCTAAACTTCTAGAACATTATTAGAGCTCTACTCATCCATTCATTCATTTATTCATGAATGCTGCATGCATTTAGTCAGCAGACAATGGAAATCTACAAAGGCAAGATTCTCACCTAGGTGTTTTGAGCTGGGGGTACAATGGGCTGGGGTGCAATGACAAATTAAGAGTGGTTCTCGCTTAATATATATATGACTAAGTTGAATATAAAGCTTAATGTGAAATTTTTTACAAAAGTAGAACAGGGAATAAAGATGTCACATGAGGCAGAGGCTAAGCTGTAAGTTCCTTACAGTCAACAAAACCATATTTGGGTAAGTCCTCCAAGATTAGTGTTAATAAAGTAGTATCAAATTTAAACCAGTACAAGCTAAGTACTGATATTGCCTCAAACTTGATGTAGAAAACAGAAGAGTAGATTGAAACCAGTTCTGTGCCTGGAACCTTGAAGGTGGCCTGAGGAAGATTTTATTCTATAGGCAGGTGGGGAGTTACTGCAGATTTTGAGCAAGGGTAAGCAATGGTCAAGGCTGTTCAACAAGGTTAATTAAGCTGACGTTCATGCGTATGATAGATACATGGGAGAGAGGCCCAAATCAGGAAAACCAATTAGAAGAATATTCTTATAATAAAAATGGGATGATAAAGGTATAAACCAGGTGGAGGAAGATGAAATGAAGAGGGGTTTACATTTTTCTAGTTCCTCACTTCCACTTTAGACTATTATTCTACAACTTTTATGCAGAAAACCTTCCTTCTTTGCAATAGTCTTCTACATGGTGACCACACCTCTACTGTTGACTCTCATAGTCCATTCCCAAAGGGATCTTTTTAAAATGTAAGTCAGATCATGTCACATGTCTGCTTAAAGCTCCTGAGTGACCTCCCATCTCACTGAGAGTAAAGCTCAAGCCTTTGCCTTCCAGAGCATATGAGAGCTGTTCCCCCACTGCCTCTGGCCTTGTCTCCTGCAGCTCTCCTACCGTGTTCATTTTGTTCAGCCACCCTGGCCTCCTTGCTATTCCTCAAATGGTGCCAAGCCCTTTCCTGCCTCCGGAATTGGACACTCTTTTGTTCCCCCTGTTGGCAACTCAACTATCTTCCCCAAGACATCTACATGGCTTCCTCCCTCTCTTCCTGTAAGTCTGTTCTCAAATGTTCCCTGATCATGAAAGCCTTTCTGACAACCTGATAAAAAATGGCAACCTCTTCTCCAGCTCTCCATAACCCCTTTACCCTGGTTCATTTTTCTCCAGAGTGTTTCTTACCTTCTATCTGACCCATCAGAAATTCATGTTAAGATTTATTGCTTGAATTCCTTCAATAGAATGTAAACTACATGAGGGCATGAGCTTGTCTCACCTGCTTCATTCACTGCTGTATGTCTTGCCCCTAAGATAGCAACTAGAACACAGGGCAGCATTTTCTGAATGAATGAATGAATGAATGAATGAATGAATGATTGAACGAAGAGCTTTCCAACCACCAAATCTACCAATTGCCCCTAATCTCATACTCTGCCTTCCCTCCTGCTCTCTACTTTTTCAGTGGACCTAATCCCCTCTCACCTACTCAAGGATTTAATACCTGCGATTATCTTCCCTCTCCTGCCTCAAAAGTCTCTCCCCTCCCTATTGGGTCATTCCCTGCAGTAAACAGAAGTTTCTAGTGTGGCTCCATTTTCTCTTTCACTTTACAGTAAAACCCCTTAAAAGAAGACTTCCTCAATTCTCCCCTAAGCTACTCTAATCAGCTTCAGTTCTCCACTGGTCTAAATTCCCCTGCCCACTCCACACTGAGTCAGTTCTTGTCAAGGCCTCTGAGAAGCTTCATGCTGACAAATCCAAGGCTCAATTCTCAGTCTTCAACCTACTCCACCCCTTGAAACTCTTTCTTCTCTTGATGCTGGAACACTGCTCCTTTTGTTTGCCCTCCCATCCTTCTGGATTTCTTTCTTGGCATCCATTGCTGATTCCTTCTTATCTGCCACCTATAAGCACTCTGCCCTCACGCCTCTTCTTTTCTCTATCTACAATCACTTCCCAGGTCACCTCGTTCTATTTCATGACTCTGAAGTCCATATAAATGATAAACAATGATGAATTCCAAATCTGTATCAGGAATAATGTCCTACTTTGATATCTACTTAGTCCCAAACTCATTTATCCAACTGCCTACTCAATGTCTCTCCTTAGATATCTTCAAACTTAACCTGTCTAAAGCAGAACTCCTGTTTTTGTCCCCCAAACTCTCTTTTATCCTACTATTCCCATTTCTGGCAAGAACCATCAAACAAGTGCCTTTTCTGGAAGTCATGCCTGATTCCTTTCCCTCCATTTCCCCCCTACCAGAAAGTTCTGATAGTAAAACTTACCTTTAAATTATGGTGTTATACTTACATGAAATGCTCAAATGTATCTCTCTCCCCCTCTTCCCACCTCCTCTTCCTTTGTACTCCTTGAATCTTCTCCTCTTGCCTAGACCATGACAATAATCTCTGATTTCTATCCCTTATTTTACTCTTGCTCACCTACAGTATCTTCTCCACAAAGCAGTAGGAGTGATCTGCTTAAAAACATAAATTATGTGACTAACCTGCTAAATCCTTTCTCCTATCACTCTTGGAATAAAATCTTAACCCCCTACCCTGTCCTAAAGGGCCTACATGATATGGCTGCTGCCTATTTCTAGGACTTTATTTCCTACTCTCCTCCCCCTTGCTCACTGCCTTGTGACACATTGGCTTTCTTGCTATTCTGGGAGCACTGTCAAGTTTGTTTCTACCTCAGGGCTCTTGCACTTACAATTCTTTCTGCCTGGAGTGATCATTTTTCTTGATCTTTCCACATTGTGCTTCTACTCATCTTTCAAATCATAGTTTCGGTATCATCTCTTTAAGGAACTTCTTGAGACTTCTGCATCTAAATTTAAAATGATGTCCTATAGCCTATAGCATCTTTTCCTAGTTCCTTGCGATCACTCATCACATTCTGTAATTATATTATCTGTTTTATTTATTAGTTTATTGTCCTCCCCTACTACACTGTAAGCTCCACAAAAGCAGGGCCTTTGTCTTCATGTTTACTATTGGACCCTACTGCCCAACTCAATGCTTAATGGGTTCAATAACTATCTATTGAATTAAT